AGTTTCAGAGTTAGATTACATGAAGAAAAATGCGGCATCAGGATAGAAGGAAGACTCAGTGCACAGATGACACAACTGTGATTGCTGAAAGGGAAGAGGATACTTACTGACTTAAAATACTTACTGATGAAGATCAAAGAGCACAGCCTTCAGTATGGATTGCACTTCAGTGTAAAGAAAACAAAACCCCTCACCACTGGACCAATACGTAGCACTATGATAAATGGAGAAAAGATTGAAGTTGTCTAAGACTTCATTTTACTTAAATCCACAAACAACAGTATGGAAACAGTAGTTGAGAAATCAAAAAACATATTTCAGAAGACCTCTTTAAAGTATTCCAGATCAAAGCTATCAGTTTGAAAACTAAGGTGAACCTGACCCAACCCACGGTATTTTCAGTAACCTCATCTGCATGCGAAAGTTGAACAGCGAATAAGGAAGACCGTAGAATAATTAATGCATTTGAGTTGTGGTGTTGGAGGAGAATACTGAAAGTACCATGGACTGCCCAAAGAACAAACCAATCTGTGTTAGAAGAAGTGCAGCCAGAATGCTCCTTAGAAGCCAAGATGGTGAGATTTCGTCTTTCATACTTCAGACATATTTTCAGGAGGGACCAGTTCCTGGAGAAAGATCTCATGTTTGGTAAGGTGGAGGGTCAGTGGCTAAGTATTTCTTCATATTTGTTGGTAAAGTGTCTGTTCCTGCCCTGTGTCCATTTCTAATACAGATTATTTATCTTCTTGTTGAAATATTCGAGAAATTTTAGAGAGTAGTTCCTTGTCTAAAATGGCATTGCCAAAGATTTTTTCCTGGTCTGTGGGTCCTTTTTTCACTCTTTTGGTGAAATCTTTTTTTTTTTTTTTTTTAATGTTTTATTGAGAATTATGTGATAGTTTACATGGGAGAACATTAGTTTTACATTCATCCTATCATATATCATTTCATTGCCATGGTTACAATCCCCTCCATGCATCATCAACCCACCAAAGGGTATACCCTGCAAGCCTGTCCCCCCGTTGGCAGCCCACAGTCACTCTCCCTCTCTGTGTCTAAAGTCCCCAGCCACTCCATCTCTCCACGTCATCCTCTCTGCCTCCATCTCAGGCATCACTGCTTCTCTGGGTAAGATCCCGCTCTCTGCTCTTCACCCTTGATGGCCCCAGGGACCTCTGGCCTAGACTGCAAAGTCAGCCACTCCCTTCCTTGCTACAAAACGTCTACCTTTACATTTCCAACCCTCACAATCAGTCCTGATGAAATCTTTTAATGTGCATAAGTTTCTATTTTAGGAGGTCCCAGCTATCTATTTTGCCTTCTGATGTTTGTTTTCAGTTCTATTTGGTAGTGTATTTATGCCTTATATCAGAGCCCCTAAACTTGTCCCTGGAGTCCTGGTGTGGCACTGTGGGCTAATGCGTCAGACAGCAAAGTCGTTTGAACTGCAAGGTTGGTGGTTCAAATGCACCAGCGTCTCCTTGGAAACCCTATGCAGGGTCTCTATGTGTCGGAATCGACTCGATGGCACTTAACAACAACAATAAATTTGTCCCTATTTTTCCATTGTGGTCTTCATAGTCCTAGGTTTTACCTTTAGGTCTCTAATCCACATTGAGGTCATATGTGAGATATGGTATGGGTCTCGTTTCATTTTTCTGCAAATGAATTTCCAGTTTTGCCAACACCATTTGTTGAAGAGACAATCTCTCCCTATTTAACGTATTTTGGCTCTTTGTCAAAGAGCAGCTGACCGGATGGGAATGAATTTACTTCTGGGTTTTCAATTCTGTTCCATTGATCTATGTGTCTCTCGTTGTTTGGACCACTATGGCTGTGTAGCAGGTTTTGAGATCAGGAAGTGAGAGGTCTCCTACTTTATTCTTGTTCTTTTAGTAATGTTTTACTTAACCAGGGTCTCTTTTCTTTCCATTTAAAGTTAGTGATCAGTTTTTCTATCTCTTTAAAAATGATGTTACATCTGGACTGGGGTTACTTTATATCTATAGATACCAAGGAAATGGCTCGTACAGTGTTTGATGTTGTTGTTCGGTGTCGTCAAGTCAGTTGTGACTCTTAGCAACAAACACTATGCACAACAGAATGACACGCTCCAGTCCTGCGCCTTCCTCATAATCACTGTCACACTTAAGTCCATTGCTGCTGCCCTGTGCCAAGCTATCTCGTTGGGGGCCTTCTTTTTTTCACTGACCCTCCACTTTACCAAGCATGATACCCTACTCCAGGGACTGGTCCCTCCTGAAAATATGTTCCAAGTATTAGAGACAAAGTCTTGCTTCTAAGGACCATTCTGGCTGTACTTCTTCCAACATAGATTTGTTTTTCTGGTAGTCCACGGTACTTTCAATATTCCTCTCCAACACCATAACCCCAAAATGCTTCAATTATTCTAGTCTTTCGTACTCATTGTCCAACTTCCACAAGCATATGAAGCTGTTGAAAATATCGTGGCTTAAGTCAGGTGCACCTTAGTTCTCAAACTGATATATCAGATTAGGAAAAACTTTATATATTTTTACAATGTATTCGTGTAATTTGTTCTTCCTCATCAGTTGAACTATCAAACAATAATTTAATTAGCAAACAAGACAAGAGTCTTTTCAATCTGCTGAACATTAAAAATACATAATATTAAGGCTGCATTGGCGCTGTTGTTGCCAAGTACGGTCGAGTTGGTTCCGACTCACAGCAGCCCTGTGTAGGATTTCTGAGGAGCAGGTGGTGGGTTTAAATCGCCAACCTTGCTTTCAGCAGCCCAGTGCGTTTCATACAGCGACACACCAGGACTCCAAAGCAATGAAAACATAAAATTCAATTAAAATGGTAAACTGCCAGAAATCCAAGCCAGATTCAGAAGAAGATGAGGGATTCCACTGCTCATGTCAGATGAATGTTGTCAGGACACCAGAGACATGTCTACCTACCTCTCTTTTATTGACTGTGCAAAGGTTTTAGGTTCTGTGGATCATAGCAAATTATAAATAACATTGCAAAGCATGGGAATTCCAGAACACTTAATGTGTTCATGTAAAAACCTGTACACAGATCAAGAAGCAGTAATTTGAACAGAAAAAGGGATACTGTATGGTTTAAAATTGGAAAAACGTATGTGTCGACTTGTATCCTATTATATGCAGATGATATATCTCATTTGCTGAAAGCAGAGAGGAGGTGAAGCACTCATTGATAAAGATCAAAGACTACATAAAGAAAACAAAAGTGCTCACATTGGGACCAACAAGCAACATCATGATAAATGGAAAAACTATTGATGATGTCAAGGATTTCATCTTACTTGGATCCACAATCAATACCCATGGAAGCAGCAGTCAAGAAATCAAATGACATATTGCATTCGGAAAATTTACTGCAAAAGACCTTGCTAAAATGTTAAAGAGAAACAATGTCACTTTGAGGATTAAGGTGTGCCTGAACCAAACCAGGGTGTTTTCAATTGCCTCATGTGTATGTGAAAACTGAACAATGCATCGGGAGAACTGAAGGAGAACTGATGCATTTGAATTATGGTATGAGTGAAGACTATTGAATATAACGTGCATTACCAGAAGAATGAAGATATCTGTCTTGGAAGAAATATAGCTGAATGGTCCTTACAATGAGGATGGTGAGACTTCTTCCCACATCCTTTGGAAATGTTATCAAAAAGGACTCGCTCCTGGAGAAGCGTATCATGCTTGAGAAGAAGTAAGATGGTCAGCAAAGAGAGGAAGACCTTCCATCAGATGGACTGGCACAGCCTTGCAACAGGGAGCTCCCACAGCAGCGATTGTGAGGAAGGCACCGGAGCAGGCAGCATGTCATTGGACCAATGAGGGCACCTGACCACACCCCTTATCTGTCACTCTGCTTCTTCCTGACCTACCCTGCCTCCAGGTCCAGGCAATTGCTCATTTATTCTCTGTCTCTAGATATGTGTCTTTTTAGAAATGTCATATAAATACGATGACATATATTCTTTTGTGACGAGCTTTTTTCCTCAGCATAATATTTTCTAGAGCATGTATTCCATTGTGTGGATGGACCACATTTTGTTGATCTATTAGTGGACGTTTGGTAGGTTTCTACTTTCCCTAACTACTCTAAGCATTCTTGTACTCAGTTTTATGTGTACATATCTTTTCATCTCTCTTGGACAACTATCTAGAAGTGGAGTTACTGAGTCCAATGGTAATTTTAACCGAATTGAGGAACTGCCAGGAACTGTTTTCACAGATGCAGAACCATTTTACATTCTACCAGCAATGTTGTTGTTGTTGTTGTTGTTAAGTGCCGTCGAGTCGGTTTCGACCCATAGCGACCCTGAACAGAGTTTCCAAGGCTGTAAATCTCTACGGGAGCAGACCGCCTCATCTTTCTCCCGCGGACCAGCTGGTAGTTTCGAACTAGGTTCCAATTTCTCCACATTCTCGCCAACACTTTTTAGTTTCTGGATTTTCTGTTATTTTTTCTTGTCCCTTATTCTAGCCATCCTAGTAGGTGTGATGTGGTATTTCACTGTGGCTTGCAATCACAGCTCCCTGATAGCTAGTGACGTTAAGCATCTTTTCACGTGCTTATTGGCCAACTGTACGTCTTCCGTGGAGAAAAGTGGATTCCGAAATCATCTCACGTTTGTATTTTAGGTTGTCGTTTTATTGTTGAGTTATAAGGATCTTTATGTATTGCGAATAGGACTTGCAAATCTTTTCTCCCATTCTGTAGGTTTTCACTTCATTAATGTTCGTTTTAAAATTTGTTGTTGTGGTAAACGCAATACATAACAAAACATACGTCATTTCAACCATATCTACATGTAACTGATGACATTCCTCAAGTTGTGTAACCATTCTCGCTATCCTTTCCGAATTTACGATGTTCTTTGGTAGAAAAGTGTTCTTTCTTTCCACTGTGCTTATAAAAATATCCCAGATTTTATTTTTTTTAAAACGCTTACGTCGGCACTCCCTGACCGCACGCAGCCGCCAGAGGGCTCGGAGAACGCAAGGCGGGCCGAGCCCCGCTGCGCCTGCGCCGTGCCGGCGCCGGCGCGAGCCCGAGCGCGGTC